TTTTTTTTTTAAATAGGAGTTATTGCATAAGGATCTAGAGGGAAATTTTAAGTTGTTTTTGTTTTAAAAGAAATTACTTTGTTTTATAATTTAAATAACTAAAGAACTATTTAGAAAATACTATTATATTTTGATTATAAGGAAACTGACCCCAATGAATAACCTTCTCCTCATTCTTTTATAAGATATTTGAGCTGGGACACTCCTCAAGAAGTCATTGCAGTCAAGTCAGCTCAAAACAAATCTTCAGCATTGGCCCGGCAGGTAGACATCTTTAAGTATCAATAAATAAATCTTAAGCATTAATGAAATGAAGAAATTGTCTGCAAATTTGTTGTGAAAGAACTAATGGTCTTTGATTTCTGAAAAATGGTATAAAAGTTGTTTACCACGAGCTTAAGAAATACCCTTTAAGCCACTCTGGAGAAGTACAACAGATTATTTTACATTCCATAGTGGAAAGAAATTGAACCTTGTTCTTCAAAGTAAGGGAGCTATCTTTTCCAAACAGACAAATCATTCAAGCTTTAACTGTTGATAATTTCTTCTCATCTCACGTAGACATGTCAGTGTAATGCTACTTTCAGGTGATATGACCATAACTATGTGTCTTTTGATTAAGGTCTTTATTATTAGAACTCCAACTTACAATATAACTTATACTATATTAATATACCATAATATATGTATAATAATAACAATTTAATTATATGGTATATGGTAGATATTATAAATATATATTTATGCTGTAATTGTAATATGGAAAGTGTATTTTGTTATGCAGTAGATAAAATGTTTTTGTACAGTATGTAAAATATGTTTCAGTGTTAAGAAATGTTTACTGTTAGGTTTACTTTTATAGATTTTTGTGTGTATGTGCATGTGTGTTTAAGGGCTAAAGGTTTAATGGACTTATTTTGAACACATATGCCTTCCTGTTTAAGTAACTTTGCAATGTAGACGGAGGTTTTCATGAGTTGAAAACATCCACATAACTGTATGCTAGGATAGATGGATGTTTTCAACTCATGAAAACTGTTTCTGAAATTCTTTTGAGAGCTGCCTATAATTTAATCTTTCCTTGTAGGCAGGCATTCAACAGCCTATTTTGCTGTACCTTGCAGTGTTCCATGTTTTACCTTTTTCACTCATAGGGATTCTGGAGATCAGCAAGAAGGTAAGAACTTACTTCTAATTTAATTGCAATATCAACTTTTTTATAAAAGATCGGATGCCGTTGGTTATTTGTTTTATTAAGTCATTTGATTGCAAGTGTTCCCCTAATTGTAAAAAGCTTTCTGATCTAGCTTGTTTCATATCAAAACACATGAGAATGTTTCATTTAGGAAGAAAGTCTAATCATTCCTTCCTCTTTCTACATGTTTTTATGCCATTCAAGTGCATAGTGTTGAATTACCTTTGGTGTCATTAACAAACCACTACTTTACAAAATTATGAAATGAGGAAGGTGGTTTTTTGCAGAGGGATATTCCAAAGCTCATTTAAAATGACCATTAGGAAGGTGAAAAGCTAAACAAAAAGCCTCATTTTAATTGCAAGGTATAGATCTAAAACTTGTTTTATGATACAGAAACAGCCTTATAATTAAATATGTGAGTTTTCCAACTCATTCAGTTTTAGGTTTTATTCTTGTCATTGTTCTTGATTTATAGGCCATGATATGGGAGGAAAGAAAGGACATACTTCCTTTGAGTAAAAGAATCAATAGCCTTCTACTTTCCATTTAAAAATTGTTACTTAGTCTGGGGGGATAGTTATTTATTGGTCTATTCTACTAGTCTTTAATTAAGTATTACTGAAGCAGATCTTCAGAGTCCTCTAATAGTCATTAGCAAATAAGATGAACATGTTAAAAAATTTTTGTAAAAGCATAGTATACTAAACTACATAAAGACAAATGAATAGTATCAATTACTTGTTCATTCTTGGCTTTGTGCCAGGCACTTTGAGTAGTTTACAACTTTGTAATGTATGATGTATTCCACTAGGAAATTAACCAAATCCTAAGTGAATGCAGAAACTGGAATTAGAAACTAGAGTTGACTCCAAAGTATGAACCAAATTTTAAAATAGAGTGGCTACTTTATTATAGCACTCATTATTTGAAAATATGTTTGAATTACACAAGTCTTCTTTTTCAAAGTGGGAAACCAGGATCCGCCAATAAAAAATTATGAGCTAGTCAAGATCAAAGCAAAGAAAGCATAATTATCCTTCTAAGAGATGACAAAAAACATAACTTACGAATTTAATTGTTTTCTTTGTGCTCGTGGACTAAGTAATTGTGTATGCTTATTACAGTCCAAAACAGGAATGAACACTTAGCTAAGTCATAAATTGTTTCTATCTATTTTTACATGCCTACAATAATCATTGGAGGGATTTGGTTTTGATTAGGGTTAGTTGGAATTGAAGCGTATCTTTCACTTACCATGTATAAAAGACTACCCATGGGCGGGCTTAGAATGTACTTTAAGCTATTTATTGGGGTAGTAAATTTTCACTAAGTAATTAGAAACAGAAACAGATTTTCACTTAATTTCTACTTGTTCTTTCATTGCTATGAAAATTTGTCTATGTTGGCTTTTGTAAATATTAAAATAGGCACAGAATCAAGTTCTTTGTCAGAGCTCTGTGGAGGATTATGACAGGATCCGTTGCATAGAACAAAAACAGAAAGGGAACAAAGAACCAAAGCTTTACTCAAGGTTAGCCAGTCTAAATGTCTCTATAGGTGTTGGCTTGGTCTTTAACATGTTTGGGTTTTATATGACTAAAACACCTAGCTGTGTTAGATATTTAAAGAACAAAGTAATAATAAAATTCTGGAATTGGCTGTTTCTCATTAGAAGTACTTTCTCAGAGCCAGTCTTTTCCCTTCTAGCTAAAAACTGTCTCTTTATAAGTAACATTTTAGCATGAAGAATAGGTCTCTATATTTACAATGCATATCCTGTATGGTAGAATTAGATGGTCTCAGTGTATGCCTACGTCCATGAAGAATAGGATTTGTTGGGTTTTTTTAATTTTTTTTTTAATGTTTATTTATTTTTGACAGAGAGAGAGAGAGACACAGAGCATGAGCGGGGGAGGGGCAGAGAGAGAGGGAGGGGCAGAGAGAGAGGGAGACACAGAATCCAAAGCAGGCTCCAGGCTCCAAGCTGTCAGCACAGAGCCTGATGTGGGGCTCGAACTCACGGACTGTGATATCATGACCTGAGCTGAAGTCAGTTGCTCAAACAACTGAGCCACCCAGGCGCCCCAGAATAGGATTTGCTATTAAAAGATATCGGCAAAACTGTAAAGCAAATGGATGAGGCAAATTAATGCTGCTGAATCATTTTGAAGGTTATATGCTACACTGCCATTAGTGTTCCAGTTTGAGACTCCAGTGGCCTACCACCCTAATGACACCTTAACTTCAGGTCTCTAAATTATAATTAAGTTATAATACTAGGCGGCAGTGATGTCGTGGTGACCTGAATATTAAGCAAAGCACAAACCACTGTGAACACTCAAGAGGATTGGCCTTCTGGTCTTTTCTCAGGTGATATCTACCTTTCCCCTCAGATTTTCGGGAACGTTACAGATGCTACCTTGTCTCATGGGATACTGATTGTGATGTACAGCTCAGGACTGGTCAGACTCTATAGCTTCCAAGCCATCATTGAACAGGTACAGAAGCCTGAAATTTGCCATATTATAATAACTTGAATTTTGGACTGAGGTATGATTTTTTTTTTAATGAGATGCTTTAGAGTAAGGCACTTGTGTAGATTTCAACTCTACAAAACTGTGCAAATGCAGAAAGACAAAGTAACCTTTAAAAGAGGGTGGGAGGATAAATAGAAAGGCCCTTTAAATAAAGACATTTTCTCTGTCAGATACATGTGAATTTAATATTTTCTCTCTCCAGACAGCAAATAAGTGGGTGCTAAAGCCACCGTTTTTGTTTGTTTTGTTTTGTTTTTAGTTCATGCAACAGAAACTTGACTTAGGGTGTGCATGCAGATGGGGTGGGACTGCTGGAACTGTAGGAGAGGCTCCTTTTGGCATTCCTTGTAATATTAAAATCACAGGTATGGCTACTATGTAGCATTTTTTTCACCTTAAAAAATAAGTGGTCATATAAATAGTTATTTATTGTAATCATCCAGTTCTCATAATTTAATTATAAACTCAATTCATTTTACTTCTATATAGCTTATTCCTTGCTACTGAATAGGTATTGACAAAATCTATCAGTTTTTCATTGAACTGAACACCTAGTGATACTGAGTCTTGCTTGGCATTTAACTAGCAGAAGGCAAAGCCCAACATCACTGAGAAGAGAAATGTAAATTAAAATTATCCTAAGATACATCTTTTCAGGTTTTCAGCTATCAAAAAGTTACTAATGGGGTTGTTTAAAGTATAGTATAGAAGTATATAAGAATATAAAACTATATAAAACTATAGTCATTTATTGTTGGAGTCATTTGTGGAGGATAGTTTATCAATATGCAGCAAAGTTTTAAATATATATACTCCTTGAACAATTCCATGTCTAGGAATTTATACCAGATACATTCATATGTGTACAAAAATGACAAATGTACAAGTGTAACATTATTTCTAATAGCAAGTGGTTAGAAACAATGTATAATTGATAGGTGACACTAATATCATTTCATTGTTTGGCCGTATCATAAATTTAAGTGTTACAAAGAAAGAATTTTTTTGTATTGTTGCAGAGCAATTCCCAACATATATATTAATAAATGATAAAAAGGAGTGTAAAACTGTACATAAAAAGCTTCATTTGTATAAAGAATTTGTATTCACATGTTTAAAATGTACACATGAGCATATACTTTTTAGATTTGCTTGGAATATATGGAAGGACACACAAAAACCTGATAAACAGTAGTTTCCTCTGAGGGATACAGATGAAAGGAAGACTTATTTTTCATTATGTATCTTGTGATACTTTTTGAATGTGGTGCCTACATTACCTTCACCAAAATGTGGTTCCATGTGTATGCATGTATACCCACACACACAGATCCTTGAAGTTTTAAGAACTTGACCTGTGTATCATTCTATGGATGAACTTTGAATTTGTTGAGCCAGTTCACTGCTTTGGACATTTAGGTTGTTTTTAATTTTCTGTGATTACAGATAACTAGTAATGCTTGAATCAATTATGTCATTGTGGGTGGCAGAATGGCCATTTGAAAAGATTCTGTCATTCCTTCTACCTTTAATAACTGACATTTTTCTGTAAATAAAAACTTCCACTCATCACCTAGGGATGAACTGTAATTCCTCCTAAAAAGTCAAGGTAAATACTTAACTCTTTCTCTTTAAGTATCAGTATTCAAGCAAGGATTTGGTGTTAATAGTCACGTCCAAGGTGGCAAAATATTTTAGAGGTCAGCACACATATATAATCACAGTGGACTCATGGATTTTCATCTATCCAAAATTATATAGTTACAGTCATTATTCTTCATGATGTTCAAATTGCCCCAAATTTGGCCAGTGAGAACTCCATTTTGACATACCCCAAGAGTCTTGGGGAATTCCCTTGCTCTTCTGGAACAATAATGTATCCTAGGTTTACCTTTTACTTTCCTTGTCCTCGATGTGACAAGGAGAGAACACCCTCATTGACTGTGTTAGTGTCCTAGGACTGCTGTAACACCACAAACTGATAGCTTTAAGCAACAGAAATTTAATCTCTTACAGTTTTGGAGGCTAGAAGTCTGAAATTAAAGCACTGACAGAGACCACCTCAGGTCCTCTGAAGGCTCTAGGAAAGAATCCTTCCTTGCTTCTTCTGGCTTCTAGTTGTTGCTGACAATCCTTGGCATTTCTTGGTTTGTGGCAGCATTGCTGCCCTCTCTGCCTGTCTTCACATGGGCCTTCTTCACTCTGTTGTCTTCAAATCTCTCTCTCTCCTTATAAGAACACCAGTCATGGGTTTTAGGACCCACCCTTATCCAGCATGATCTCTGCAAAGACCCTGTTTCCAAATAAAGTCATATTCACCAATACCAGGGGTTAGGGGTTCGACATATCTTTTTGAGGGGCACATTTCAACCCAAAACATAGACCAAGATCTAGTTGTGCTCAATGCAGCTGGGTGTCTTTATTTTTGGTGAACAGAGCTGGGAAATATATTAAAACAAAAACCTTTTAGTTCATTCTCGTATTTCTAAATTTAATTGTTCTTTGATTTTTTTAACTTTTTTTTTTTTTTGAGAGAGAGAGAGAGAGAGAGAAAGACAGACACAGAATGCACGTGGAGGAGGGACAGAGAGAGAGGGAGACACAGAATTTGAAGAAGGCTCCAGGCTCTGAGCTGTCACCACAGAACCCAGTGCGGGGCTCGAACTCATGAGCTGTGAGATCATGACCTGAGCCGAAGTTGGACCCTTAACCGACTGAGCCACCCAGGAGCCCCAATTCTTCTTTGATTTTATATTTGTATTTCTTTTGGCTCCCACTGAACTTCTTGATTCCTAGGGAAACTTTATCCTATAATATATATGTGATAATCTTAAAATTGCCATATCAATGCTACTACTGAAAACTAAAGTACAGTGTGAAGGTTAAGATTTCTCTGCAGGTCCTTTTGTCCTTAGTGTACAGCCCAATAAGTGTACTATCAGAGTAATGTGTTCAAAGATTGCTTGAAATTATTTTTCTGTGTCATTAGGTTACCAATTTTATGTAATTAGGTTCATTTGTTTTAGTTTTTCAATTTTAGGTTTATTTTTTCCCTTTTGACTTTATTCTTGAAGTTGTAAAATGTGTATGTTTTAATGGTCAAAACTATATAAAAAGATATAGTCTGAGAAACTTTGCTGCCATCCATAAAAGTCCTTCCATTCTGTTACTTCCCTCCCGCAATTCCACCCTGCCCCTATAAGTAATCATTGTTTTTAGTTTCTAGGTTATCCCTCTGTTGTTTCTTTTCATAAAAATAAGCAAACATGCAGGGGCGCCTGGGTGGCTCAGTCAGGTAAGCATCGACTTCAGCTCAGGTCGTGATCTCATGGTTTGTGGGTTCGAGCCCCGTGTCAGTCTCTGTGCTGACAGCTCGGAGCCTGGAGCCTGCTTGGGACTCTGTGTCCCCCTCTCCCTCCGCCCCTCCCCCGCTTGTGCTCTGTCTCTCAAAAATAAATAAATGTAAAAAAAAAATTTTTTTTTTTTAAATAAGCAAACATGCATATGTATTCTTTAAATGTTACCTTCTGGGGCGCCTGGGTGGCTCAGTCGGTTAAGCGTCCACCTTCAGCTCAGGTCACAATCTTGCGGTCCGTGAGTTCGAGCGCCGCGTCGGGCTCTGGGCTGACGGCCCGGAGCCTGGAGGCTGCTTCCGATTCTGTGTCTCCCTCTCTCTGCCGCTCCCCCGTTCATGCTCTGTCTCTGTCTCAAAAATAAATAAACGTTAAAAATTTTTTTTTTAAATAAATAAATGCTACCTTCTTTCTTACACCAAATGTAGTATATTGTATACTCTGTTCCGTACCTTGTATTTTCATTTAACATGTAAATGTTAAAGCAAACATTTATTTAACAGAAGAAATATATAAGATTAGCTACCTGTATTTTATTGAGATAAAGTTGATGTATAGCATTAGATTAGTGTCAGGTGTACTTGCCAGTGATTCCTCATAGTTAGAATATTATTAAGGCCAGACGTCAGGCAAAGAGGAATTCTTGATGGTTTTGTTCCTTAGCCGTATTTGTCCCAGAAGCCACCTCTATACCTGTAAAATTACAAATAGAGACTGTAGTCAAGCATATGGTAGCCACCTTTAGCCAAACCCAACATGCTGTCACCCACAAATTCAAAAGGTGGCCCTCCAAAGCCTTGATATCCTGACTACAGCTCAAGAAGACACTTAGGCTAATATTGAGACTAAATGTTATGTATATATCCCAGATGACTCTAATCTCTATCAAAAGTTTTAGCAGACATGCACACACAAATTAAAGCAATGTCTGACTCTTCTCATTCTCTCAGTGAGTGGGTTTCTTCCTGGTTTAGCGGACATGGATAGTCTTGGTGGAAAACACTTCTTCTACTAGCTATGATAGTAATTATGCTAGTCTTTTTTATTATGGGGACTATTGTTGCTACATGCTCTGCGTAAAGATGTCAGACAAATTATCTCAATGATGACTGTAGGAAACATCCTATTCTTATGATGAGACCTCACACATGCCTCCAACTCAAAAATATCTGCAACTAGGAGCCCTTCCTTTAGTGAGATAGCTCAGGATTTTTATGCCTCCCATTAGGTAGGACCTGCAATCCCTTTCAGCCTGAAGAAGCTACAGGAGATGAGACCTTCACCCTTCAACACCCCTTAAGAATAAGGACGATAAAAATCCCATAGCAGGGAATGAGACAGGGAAACTGAAGGGGATGCCATGAGAGAAAAAGCTGGGTTTTTTCCCCTTTGCTTCTTTTCTGGCTTCTCTTCCTGCTAGGACCTGCATCTCTACCCCACTTCACACATGCCTTATAATGAAAACAGCCTAAGCCCTTCTTGTAAGGGACGAGGAGTTGATGACGCTCTAGAATAAATGACATCTAAGGAAGGCCCAGGTGAGAATGATTGGACGAAACTGTCATATGTGCATTGCAGGCCACTAGAGCTAGACGTCTCCACACCAAGACCCCCTGGCTCCTAGGAAGAGAACCTGAGCCCTCATCTTTGTTCTAACCATTTCTTGGATGCCTGAGAGGACACGGACATGAGACTGCCATCCTCAATAAAAAAACCCAGACCCCAAGCAGTGATGAGACTCGTGCTTCTTTCCTCTCTCAGTCTCCTGGACAGTCCATTTGTATCTGTTTGCTCTATATCTTCAATAAACTCTGCTTTCACCTAAAAAAAAAAAAAAAAAAATTTTAAATTTTTGTGTACACTACAAAGTGACCACTGCAGTAAATCTAGTTCCTACTTTCACCGTATAGTTGACTCCCTTCCCCTATGATAACCATCAGTCTGTTTTCTGTCTCTAGGAACTCCTATAAATAATGCCCCAATGAACATAGGGGTGCATATATCTTTTCAAATTAGTGATTTTATTTTCTTTGGGTAAATAACCAGTAGTGGAATTGCTGGATCATATGGTAGTTCTATTTTTAATTTTTTGAGGAACCTCCGTGCTGTTTTCCTTAGTGGCTGCACCAATTTACATTCCCAGCAACAATGCACAAGAGTTCCCTTTTCGTTACATCCTCTCCAACTGCTATTGTTTCTTATCTTGTTATTTTTTAATTTTAGAGTGTGAGTCGGGGAGAGGGGTGGCAGGGGGAGAGAGAGAGAGGGAGAGAGAGTATCTTAAGCAGGCTCCACACTCAGCACAGAGCCTGATGCAGGGCTCAATCCCACAACCCTGGGATCATGACCTGAGCTAAAATCAAGAGTCAGATTCTCAACCAACTGAGCCACCCAGGCACCCCTCTTATCTTTTTCATAATAGACATTCTAACAGGTGTGAGGTTTTGATTTGCATTTCCCTGATATATTCCCTATATTTTAAAATTACAGAAAAATCCTACTATAGCTATTCTTTTCTAAACAACATTTTGTACAATTTACATTAAAACTCTGAAGTATTGCTTGACCTTTCACAGACTCAAAGCATTGTAATCATTATTATTATTTTCTTTTTCATGCCTCTCTTTTCACAGTCTAGCAAGTAGGAACCCCTTTTGCTGACTCTGTTATTCTTTTAATACTACCCTGCCATCCTATAAATATCCTTTACCACAACAACTAGATGGTTCAGAAGGATCTTAAAATTTCCTCATGACAAGACATAGAATCAGCTACTCTCTGAGAACTTCTAGGACTCTAGTTGAAAATAGTATTAGAGATCAAAATTTCAGGTTACTGGGGACCCATCAGAATTGTGATTAGCAGAGTCCCACTGCTACTCTGGGGCCATTTTTAGCAACTGCTGAGAAAAGTATTTCTTTTTAAGTGTATCTTTTTGCATTGATTTTCTTCTAGTGTTAATACCTATTTTATATTCTCTATAACATACCTACTTAAAATTTTAGCCCCAAATTCAAACTCCAATTATATTTTTTCTTTTTTATAATTTTTTGTCATCCACCATCATTTCATAGCTACTGTATTATCACATATGATGTTTGTACTTCTTTCATAATTTATCTAACATTTTTAGCTGAGTTTTCTGTTGGGTTCATTCTTTCCTCATTAAGAAGACTTCTTTATATATTAAGAATATTACTTTCTTCCTAAAAGCTTTTTAAAAAAAAGCACTTTAAATATATTTGATATGTTTATACCTGTGTCTTCCTCAGCACTGTCAGTTTGTGAATTCACTTTTCATTATTTTTCTCCTATATATAGGACCCAGTAGTAAAGTGTCTTATGAAGAGGCCTAATAAAGCACACACTTCTTTTTTTTTTTTTTAACATTATTTATTTATTTTGAGAAAGAGAACACAAGCAAGGGAAGGGCAGAGAGCGGGGGGGGAGAAAGAAAATCCCAAGCAGATTCCCTGCTGTCAGCTCAGAGCCCAACACAGGGCTTGATCTCACAAAACGATGAGATCATAACCTGAGCCAAAATCAAGAGTTGGAAGCTTAAGCGACTGAGCCACCCTGGCAACCCAAAGCACACACTTATATATGTAACTTAGGGCTCTTGAGTGAATGGGTCTTCCTAAGGCAAGCCCCTTTACTGGCAGTGTTGGCCTCATAACCAAAGATTAAATACTAAAAGCAAAAGGGTAAAGAAAGAGTCCCAAGTAACCACTTGCCGAAACAGAATGTTTGGGATATTCTAAAGCTGTAGTACCTTCCACTTACACACTTGTGTAAGAGTGCATGTTTTGCTCTACTTAAAATTAGTTGACCTAAAGACAACTAATGACCTGAGCTAATATCAAGAGTCAGATTCTCAACCAACTGAGCCACCCAGGCACCCCTCTTAGCTTTTTCATAATAGACATTCTAACTAAAAAGCACCAACAGATATTTCTTTTATGGTGTTAGTCTCTACAAGACAGTGAATGGCTAGATTTATCTAAACTAGTTAACTTATCTAAAGATAATACTAGTATTAGTCGCCATCCTTTAATAAAGCTACCACTGTGACAGGACCTGTCCTAAGTGGTTACATTCATTATGACTAATATCACTTATGTACTGGAAATCTTAAGACTGCTCGTATAAAATTTGCTAAGTATAACCTGTTAGTCTGGAATATGGAAGATCTCTTCCTCACATCTGAAGGAAATTATTAGACCTAATTATGTTGTAGGATTTTTATGAGAGTTGGAAATTGTGTTTAACTCAGAATCGTATACATAGATGTCTAGTAAATGGTGCTGTTTTTATTAGGTGTACTTTGTCACTTTTTGCTATCATAAGCACCTTCGGTCCACTTTTTTATCTCCACTCAGCTGCAGGTCACACATGCCCTGGAAACAGATGTCTAAACTAGTTAACTTATCTAAAGATAATACTAGTATTAGTCGCCATCCTTTAATAAAGCTACCACTGTGACAGGACCTGTCCTAAGTGGTTACATTCATTATGACTAATATCACTTATATACTGGAAATCTTAAGACTGCTCATGTAACATAAAGTTGACTTCTTGCATAACATTTGTTGCCTACCAGCTTTCTCTTTTCTTAGCATTCAGCTCTTTCCTGATTATATCTTATTTCTTAAATGTAGTAATTTCTCGTTAATGAAAGTTCATAGATGATGCATGCATCATGAATGTTCCAAGGCTACCAGAACAGAGAAACTAATAAATTCCTTTTGCCCATCTCTACAGACTCACCACCACTGCTCTTTGAGGTGTCCTCCCTGGAGAATGCTTTCCAGATTGGAGGCCATCCTTGGCACTATATCATCACACCTAATAAGAAGAAACAGAAAGGAGTTTTCCATATTTGTGCCCTGAAAGATAATTCCTTGGTAAACCATGAGTGATCAAACTTTTTAGTAGTAAATGTATATCAGAAATTCTTTATTTTCTACTTTGTATTAAGAATTCCTAAGAATTACTTTTTGTTTGTGTTAATAACTTGTAAACAATGTTAGGTACAGAAGGATACAAAGAATATAACAAACGCCTGTGTATACTACCAAGAATTTAAAAACATTAACATTTGAAAATACTTAGTGACCAAAGATTTCTCATGGGATCTCGTGCAACACATCTCCCAAGCTCCATAGTGGGAATTATTGTTGCAATATGTTCAGACTGCCTCTGAACTTGCTGGTGGAATGTGTAGTTGGTTCTGTTTTTTTCGTGGTTTGCTGCTATTTGCTTTCCAGAGCAGAACCAGTTAGAACTCTGTTGGTCACAATGTAAGCACTGAAACACTTTGAATTTTCAAGAACTTTATTTATGGCAGAATAGGAAGAAATGATAAGACATGGTAAGACAATAGAAATTTCTACTCCTTGAATTCATTTTTATTTTCTTTTTGAAAATGATTTAGGCATTGATTTATAATTTAATTTAATTTAATTTAATTTAATTTAATTTAATTTAATTTAAAGAGTGCCTAATGTGGGCCAGGCATGGCTGGGGACACCTTCCTTCCTTCAAGTTGCTTATGCTCTCTAAAGCACACATGTAGATAAGTAAGATGCAGTCTGTTAATGTACAGTAATTAAGATAAGTGCCAAAGAGTGAATGCACAGTGATGATGGGTAGAGGGGTTCCATCTTTGTTTTCTATTGCTGAGTTAGTGTAGTTTATTTCTGGAACCTCCTGATATATGAGATGAACTTAATTTTTCTGAAGCAGACTCCACTTATTCCATATCTATCTCTTCCAGCACCGTGCTCAATCAGTCACTGTTTGATTCAGTGGCTTTTAGAGTCACAGGCCTCCTTACACCACACTGAAGATCAACATAGTCTTGGGTCCAGTTATCTATTTCTGTTGATGTCGCCACCAGGGAACACTATGTAGTGTCTTCTAGTTTCCTTCTGTCGGAACATTGTTCCCTTCCATTTTCTCATTTACCTGTCACATGTGGCAGCTCCAATGACGTCCTCTTTTACAGTGGCCTCTCTAGATAGAGGCTGTCATGACAAGTCTGTGATTTGATTATTCACCTCTCAGCCAGTGAACATTCTTCAACCACCAGGACCTGTCATAGCCCTCTTTCACTTAACTTTTCCATCCTGTCAAACCCTGTACAATTCTAGATATTCTTTTTATATAAGAACAGATAATATATATTATTGTGTGTGTGTGCACGTGCATGCGCGCGCGCGCGCACACACACACACACACACACACACACAAAATGGCTTCCAGCATCTATACCAAGCATGTCTATCAAGTACTGTCCTGTAATAACTGATTATAACATCTAGTCAAATCTGTATTTCAACATATTCATAACTAATTGCCAAATCCAGGGAAAGTTTTCAATCCTTTTGCCAGACAGCTTTCTGGTAAGGACATTAATTTAAGGATGCATATGCCCTTTACTTCCCCACCTGTCAGTCAAAAGAGTAGATTACCCAAAAACACATGCAGCCAAACTGAAGAATTCAGAAAACGTTTCATAGCTTTCTATTAAACTGAGCTTTAAAATCTAGCATTTAAGCACATAATAAAAGCTGCAGAAGCTGGTAATAATGCTGTCTTATATTTAAAAGATAGTATTTCTTTTGCACGTTATAGTTATTACAATGAAGAGAATCGTCTAAAGAAAGATATGTATAGTATGTGCATGTTTGATATTAAAGGGACATCTGGAGCTAATGCCATCTTGGATATGTTAATTTTAGTGGTAGCAAACAAGGTATTTAATTCCATTGATTTTCTTATGTATATACAATGTGATAATACCACCATTCCTATTAGAAATTATTAGGATACTTATAAAAATTCCTTAAAAATTAAAACATTCACTAGTACAGAATATGTGTTAAATTCCTTTTTTTTTTTTAAGCATGGAATTCAAAAAAGTAGCCCCCACCTACTTCTCTAGTCTCATGACTGGACACCATGCATATTTTCTAGGAGCCAGAATTAAAATGTTTATTCATGTGTATGCACACACATGCTGTATAGATTAGCATTTTTGTGCTTCAGATTTTGCCATCTCTTGTAGCCATTTTGTACTCATCCTTTAAGGCTTACTTCAAGCTCTTTTTTTCATCCTGAAATTCTGCTCACTTGGGTTGAATGCTTGATAATATCCTGTGTGTGGCTTGATCACTTTGTTTTCTACACCGTCTTATTCTTTTCTGTTCTGTTTGTGTTTCTGCCTCCCTTTTTGATAATGAGATTTTGACGGCAAGGGTTATGTTTAGTTCATGTGTGGTATGAACACCTAGTGTGATACTTGAGACATAGTATCCTGTCAGTATATGCTAGTGAAATTAGTAAGTTAATATTTCAAAAATATGAGTATCTAATAGGAAAGGTGGTATCACTTCATTTTGTGTTGGAAAAATTAAAGAAATTAAATGAAATTAATGTATCCATGCTGGTATTAGTTCCCAGTGCTCCTTTGTATAAGGTAAAACATTTATGTACATATGTGATCATATATCACGGAGGTAACTTCTCTTTATTTTAATGTCTAAATGTCCTGCCATGAAATAAATCTCTCCTTGCCTAAAAGGCTAAGCAGACCTAAAAGGCTATTAGACCATTTCCTCATTATTAGAGGTTAACATCTGACTTATCCAAAAAGATTATGTGACCTGTTTCTGAGATTTTAGATTGGGTTGCATATTTATTTGTGCGCTACGCACGCTTTTTGACAGTTTATTAGGGATGGGCAAGGGAAGAAGAAGTTGTAGGGGACTGCATGTGCATAATTATACAGAGTTATATAATGGAAAGTCCTTGGGCTTTGGAGTCAGAGCTGCTGTTTTGCAGCTGCAAAACATTGAGCAAATGATTTGTCCTCTTTGTGATTTTATCCTCATCAAAATGGGGGTAGTCACATGTGCTTTGAGTATTGTTAAAATCAAATGAAATGGCTCTAAAACATCTACCGCAATGTCTGACACAAAATAGATGCTTGAGATAGGATTACTGTTAGGTTGTTATTTGTGAGGCAAACTGTATGGTACAGAGCAGATGTTCTGGATTTCTCAAGTATGACTGCCCAAATTCAGTTCTTCTGCATATCCCAGTTCAACTGTTGATATTTTCTTTTCCCTGTAGCTTTGATTTACTGATCTATCATTGATGTTAGATTTGAAAACTTATTTTATTCTCCCTTAATCTTTATTTTCAATATTTTTTCCCCAACTTTAGGCAAAAAATGGGATCCAAGAAATGGAATGTTGTTCTCTAGAATCTGACTGGATCTATTTTCATCCTGATGCTTCTGGTAGAATAATACATGTTGGCCCCAATCAGGTCAAGTGAGTATTTTTTTAAATTTTTTTTTAAGTTTACTTATTTATTTTGAGAGAGAGAGCAAGCGAGCACAAGTGGGGGAGGAACAGAGAGAGAGAGGGAGAGAGAGAGAAAATCCCAAGCAGGCTCCACACCAGCAGCGCAGAGCCTGATGCAGAGCTTGACTTCATGAACCCTGAGATCATGACCTGAGCTGAAATCAAGAATCAGATGCTTAACCAACTGAGCCACCCAGGTGCCCTTCAAGTGAGTATTTTCGTTAGTTGCTTTAAAGCGAAAAGTAGCTTTTGGAAGCATTTATTGGCGTGTTTATTTTTGCCAGCTCACTGCTGACCCAATTACAGAAATAATTAGCTTGTTGTAGGTTGCTTCCTCAGAGAACCTGACTTTATTCTTTCAGCCTCCTCATTACTGTTTGTAGATATTACATTTAAATAAATTCTTTGGTGGATGATATATGGGTAAAAGGAGATTCAGATTGGCTTGTCTTCATCAGGTTTTAATTCTCTAGGATTAATGAGAGATGATTGTTTTTGGTGTAAAAGATAGCTTTAGTGCAGGAGTTGTTTGAAGTGAACCTTGTTTTGTTTTGTTGACCCACATCTACATCCAGGTGACCTTTCCTTCCTTGAAATACTCTTCATTTGGCTTCCCCGACACCACAGTTCTCCTGAATATTTCCCTCCCTCTTTGATGTGTCTTTCTTCATGTCCTTTCATGGTCATCCTCTTCTAGAGGAAGTCTTCCAGACTTTAATTATTACATGTCCTCAGGATTTAGACCCTATTTTCTTCTCACTCTTCATTCCCTTTCTGCATGATTCTATCTATTCCTTTGGCTTCAAAGACCATGTGTACACCAAAACTCCAAAATTTATATCCTTGCCCAAATTTCTCATCTAAGCTCAGCCAAAAATCTGGAATTATTCTTAACACTTTGTTACCTTCTTGTCTTTCTTTCATCATATGCATATACTCTTGACTTTTCATATACATATACTCATGTACATTGCCCCCCATCTCTCTCTCTCTCTCTTTCCCTTTCTCTCTCTCCCTCTTGCTCACCCCCTCCCTGTCCCTTACATACACACACACACACATACATACACACACACACCTGCACCATATATCCTGTGAATCCTTTGTTGTTGTTGTATTACTAAATTTTCCTAAATCCTCCTCTTCCTGCCCTTGGCCATTGTCACCATGTTGGTCAGACCATTGTCATCATTAGCCTGGACTATATTAATAGGCTACCTCCTGGACTCCAAGAATTATTTTTGCACTCTTTAAGTCTATTTTCTTCTCATCAGTGAGAGTGATTTTTAGGAACATTAACAAACACAAAAACCTAACTAAATGGATTCTACTTTAACCTTCTTATGGCTTCTTGTTCCTGAGATAAAGACCAGCATACTTAGTATGGTCTGGAAGATCATCCTCCCACTCAGTTTACTTCAGCAGTGCCGTCATTTCAGAAAGCTGGGGGCTGTTTCCTCTGGAATGTGTTTCCCCTCCCTGTTCTGCCTCATTTCTATTCATATTTCATGCCCCAGCTTAAATATCCTTTTTTTGCAGAGTCCTTCCCTGAGACCCCTCGTTAGATTCGCTCCCCCATCACATTTTCATTGCACCCACTGTGTCATGTTCTTCTAACACAGCAATTTTAATTAGTTATCTATGTGATCATCTGTTTAAATATCTAGCTTTAGAATCAGCAACTCCATAATGACAGAGAAAGAGTCTGTTTTGCTAATATTTAGAACCCCAGCACTTGAACATAGTGCTTAGCACAGAGTAGGTGCTCCGTAAGTTTGTTGAATAAGAAAGGTATTGTCTGCCTTATTTATTCCTCATGCTTCATGATAATTAATCTACTTCTCTGGATTGATTATAAAGATGATAAAGGGACTTAATTAAATAAGATGATGAACTTTTATAAAAAGTCTTAAAATCTGTAGTTTAGCTTTATTAAACCATACTTTTAATGTTTGTTGCTACCCACCTTTTAAAAAAAAAAAGTTTCTTTCTTTTGAGAGAGAATAAGCGTGTGTGCGTGCTTGTGTGTGTATGTGTGTGCGCGTGTGAACGAGCAGGGAAGGGGCAGGGAAGGGGCAGAGAGAATCCCAAGCAGGCTCTGTGCTGACGCAGGGCTCCATCTCACAAACTGGTGAGATTGTGACCTGGGCTGAAATCAAGAGTCAGACACTTACCCCACTGAGCCACCCAGGCACC